CTGATAATCATGCTATGCAAGTTATGCTATATTAACATTTTAATACGGAAAAGCTTTCATAATTTTGCAAGAATTACATAACAAAACCTAATTATATCAACCATAACGACAAAACATTTCAAAAATGAAACCTTTTCATTATTTTGCTGCCAATTCCCTTTGAATGTGCCTCAAATGCACCAAAGCCGAGATCAGATGACACCCTTTGCAAACGACTAAAAGGCCGTTTTCTCTCTTTCTTCTTGTCGAAAACTGATTGATTTATTTCACCAGATCTACAACATTAACAAAGCTCCACGAACAGTGCCATCTGTCTTTTTCAGAAAACAATCTCGAAACGGCCGAGGTATAATAAAGAAAAACAGATTCTGGAGCAAGCCAAACTGCAGAACCTATTAAAAAGCCCCTCAACCATTGGAGAATTTATCCAGCAAACAGTGCAAATTTGACTCCAAAATCCACGTTGAGAAGAGAAACAACTGTTTCCTTTAATTTTACGCAAAACTGCGAACCAATCTGCTGTGCTTATGGATAACTATATTTATTAAAGATAAACAATACAGAGGAGTAATGAGCTGGTTATCGAGCTAATTACAAGCGGCCAAAATGGACAGAGTCTCCCTCCAGTGCTGAAAGGCCTTTTCTAACCAAACACTAAATGACAACAAATGCCAACAGCAACCACTCGATGGTAAGACTGTCGATGGCTCTCTTTTTATGCGTTTTTTGCAGCTATGCAATGCAGAAAACGCATATTGACGAGAGGTTGTCTGTGTGTTCGTGTGTCTGTGTGCCTGTGTGTGCGTCTGTCACGCACTTTCATCTCCGGACCTATAAAAGCTGCGCTGTGTGTTCGTCTGTACCGATTTTTTGAGGGTTGCTTACAAGCAAGCTGATGGAGTATAATGGAGAATATGCTAGCTACATTAATGGAGAGGAGTCAGAATCGGTGAGATCTATGAAAATGGGTAAGGTAATAAGAAGTGATTTTAGATGAAATTACCTCAATTTCTGATCCTCCAACATTTCAACTGCTTGTTTGGCATCCAAATCACCATCTTTGCGATCATAATATACCGAGTAATCAACATCCCAATCATCGGCCCATTTCCAGTCACTGTCAGTGCCTTCCTCAATTTCTCGCCAAAACGACGTGTCCATGTGCCAGACAAGACCAGGTCCACCTTTCTCCCATGTCACCTGCAGTAAGAAAATAGCTGATTAGCTAACTAAAACAAGAATTATAGCTATCAGAGTTGCTTGGAATATCACAGAAAGTTACTAAGATGCAGTTGAAATAACGAAAGCAGTTATGCCACCTCTTGCTGTCTTAAACTGCCTAGTTCCGGATTTTCCTCATCTCATTTAACAGTACAGAAATGTCTGGCTAAAGCAGCATATACATGGGTTTTACAAGAAATACATTCCCGGTCAAACCTCTTGCTCTTCTTCGTATTTTTTAGGTTTGGTACGCTCCTGCTCCGTAACATCGTCATGCAAAGCTTCGTGTCTGAAAAAAAAGATGCTTAAAATGGAACAAAATGGAGGATTTGCTAGAAAAGCAACACTAAAACTAAGCAAGCCAAGCAAACTAGCACCATTTTTTTGATAATTATCCATATTTTGGTAATTTATTACCGTTCCCATTCCTCGCATTCATCTCTGTCATCATCCGGCCCCTCATCATTGTCTGGTTCACGTCTACTAGCAGCAAGTTCTTCTGGTGTACATGTTTCCGGATCCAACAACGATTCGTTTATGTTCATTGGTTCAGAAGCCGATGGTATAACATAGCGATGAAAAGAACCTGCCACTGCAATTCTCGTAAAAAATAAACCTGATGCACCTAGAATAGCTATAATTCACGAAGCGATTTGCCATGTTTGCAGCTAACTACTTCTCCTGTTTCACTGTTCAATGCTACATTGTCTAGTAGCATTTTTGGAAAAAAAAAATAGCAATTCTCAACTATAAATTTTCCGAAATCCCAGTCTCTCCAAAAAATTTTTCAATTTTTAAAAACTCCGGAAAAATGATTTCATTTAATCCCAAATTGAAATTTTGTTTTTTTTCACGAAACATCAAAGTAAGCTCATCAAAATACAAAAATCCCGGTATCCAAGAAGTTCAGCCAACTCTGCCGACATTTATAGCTACACAGTGGAAGTCCGGGCAATTGTGGTGCTCTAATAATCTCATACTCTCAAATACCGTTAAAAAAGTTACTAAAATCACTCAATCGCTAGATCGCAAAAAAAACGGAAAAATTAAAACCAAATAAAAACCAAACCAGGAGAATTACCAATGCCGTCAGATTTCAACCGCAAAGAAAAGAACCGTGACCTTTAATGGAAAACAGATATGCGCTACTGCACTATTTGATTCAATCCTCCCCCCCCCCCCTCGCCCTCCGACTGAATGACCTGACAACTTTCGATTTCTAGCACATTATCAGCGAAACTTCCTTTACCAGCTTCTAGCAATAGGTATTATTGCTTTCTATTATTAGCACTTTGACGAGTACAAATTACTGTCTAACTTAGGAAAATATTCCTATAACTAACTTTTAGCAAGTTCTCTTGGAGACTTTTGGCATTCACTGTAGTTCAGATGGACAGCACCATATTTGTTCAATCGCCTTTTCGCTTTAATACCCAAATTTTTAAGAATACTTGGTGGCAGCTTACACTGACGAATCTGAAATTACTGAATTCTGATTGGTTGGTTTTTCAAGGGCAAATAGATGCAAGCTCAGAATGCAGTTCTTTAGTACAAATCAAATCATTATTGGGTTTTCGGCACTTTTTACTAAAAATATAAAAACCGGAACGATATTTTCAATCCCCTGTCGTATTGAGGATAATCCCTCTCGCGAAATTCCATCACAGTTTAGCAAACAGATTCCTTACCTGTTCCAGGAAATATTTCGTTGGTGTTCCAACATTTCCATGTGGCATTATACTAGGCGGCCTAAGTTCGATCAGCGAACGAAAATCCAGATTTGCCGGCACCCCCTTTGCATCGCTTGAGGTCTGAAATGAAAGAACTCATATAGCTCTATTCCCTAACTACCGCCAAGGAAGCATAGCTCAAAGATACTGATATCCTCGGTAATTCTAAAACATTTTTAAACTGTAATTATGTCAAATTCTTGGATCCTGACTGCCGCTAAACTTATACTTGAATTGAACCAACCAAACCACATAATACTGTTAATAAGCATTTGAAATTCTAAATTACTTCAATACCTTCTCGTCTATGATTGAAATGGATACATTCGGAAGCAGTTAATTTATTAATCTTCTAAAACGCATGCTAAAGGCGGCCTGATCAAAAACATTAAAAAAAGAACAAACTCCGACAAATTTTTGTGGGGCAAATCGAAAAAATATAGCTGTTCTCAAAGAGGAGTACAGCGACTCTGAACATATATGCGAGTCTTACCTCGTAGGGTTTGAGAGGAAAAATGAAACATTTCAGCGGTATTTCCTGGCCATTTTTGTCAGTCCAAAACTTTTTGTGATACTGCGCAATAAAAGCTGCCCGCTGTGAAACGTCCGAGAACGAAACAACACAGCAAAAACGTTTCGTATCCTTTGACGTTGACGGTTCAGCCTCATCGCTGTGAATCTGAAATTTTAAAATGCAATTAAATTTATATGTGTTTTTTTTTAAATCCCTTTCCTTGTAAGTGCACTGCTTGATGTATCATACCGGTAAAGCAAAAGATGCAAATGGCGGATGATCTGGATGGAGGTACACTTTTCTTCGTTTTACTTATCTGGTGAGTATGGGAGTCGTAAACGAAGCCCTTGTTCAAAAGCTGTTCTGTACCGGGAAGGAATCGAACCATTCTTCTTCACGCCCGGACGCAATGTGTTACCACTACACCACCGGTCCTTGTGCTCCAGGTTCAGCATGGTAGAACATCTCTGCCTTTCAAGGCAAGATACCCCGTTCTTCTACCCTCTTTTTCTTTGTGGCGGCTTCTTAACCGGCTTCTTGCGACTGTATCTGCTAGCAATTCTCCACGGCCATTCTACCTTGAAAATTCTGATGACTGCAAAAAAGGGAAGCTTTAACAACACTTCAATTACCTGTATTTCCGGCCGATGTCGATAATGGAAGCAACGGAATTCTTCATTCTCAACGAATTCTGAGAAATATTCGCGCAAATCCCTGGCATGATATGCTTTGGGAATGTTGCGAACAATAGCGTACGCTGAAAATATCTTCAATTTCTCATTTTCCTCAAACACCTCGCTCTTCTGCCCACTTCTGGCAAATTTACACATCAAGGCAGGGTGCGATTTGAAAGTTGATCCCATGTGTTTCCGCCAGTACCGCTTGATGAATTAAGCTTCATATACAAAAAATCAACGGAGGAAGTTGTCGAGGTCCTGTTAAAATTTTGAAGAATTTTGTTAAATGCCTCAAAAAAGGGCAAGTTTGCGAAATCTTTATACGGTGACAGAGCAAATTCTCTCAAACCTTCAACCAAAAAACCCAGAACATGAAAAGTCTGGTCAAGTAAGACTAAAGTTTGTAAAATTCCCTTCAAGTAAAATCGGATTCAGTAAATTCCTAAAATTAAGCAAAACTGAAGCTCGGAAACTTTCAACCAGCAAAATCGGAATTTCTGGCACTTTCGTGAAGTCAAGTCAACGTCTATGAAACCCGTGGCTATAAAAACTGAAAAGGATTACCCCCAGCTTTCTCTGAAGTGAATCTAGATCCGCAAAAATTTCATTTAAAATCTCAACAAAACTACTGCAATTCTTGAGAGGATGAAATACCTTGTGTGGGTGCATAAGAAGCTCCAGTGTCC